GGAAATAAAGTAATGAACTTTAATGTGTGTGCATGAGTAGAATGACCATTCTCTGCATGATTTAACTCCTATGACCATTAGGGTTAAATAAGATCAAATCTTGCTTAATACGAACTAAATACTAATTTGCATGATTGTTTGTTCACTTGATCAATGAATTAATAGTTGTGTTGAAATCAAATGATTAGTAGTCGTGACCATGACACTAGTCATATTAGGAATCAGTGAACAATGAATAAATATCTATTGTATTAGTAGTTAGCCATTAATTTGAGATGTAATTTATCTAGACCAAAGTACCTAAAGAAATTTGTCTTCCAGACAGTTTATCGATATTTGATGTTAAGTGGTATTTAAAGTATTTAATAAAACTCTTCTTATTGCTTATGTGTTTTGTGTAACCTATAATCAAGCATTCTAAAATTAATTCACCACCATTCCCCATGTGTTCGATACCTGGTCTTACCACAACTATACTATTGCATGACTAGGTACACTACCTAGTGTGTTTATTAGTCCGGTTGAGATAAAATCAGTTTTATAAATGTAAAACTTGAATAATTAAAATATATATATAAAAACACACATCAACCACCTGCCTCCTTTCGTTCCATTCGTTCCTGATCAGACAAAATTAAGGATCGGAAATCCCGATCCCTTTCCCTACCTTCGACCTTTTCTACTTCCGTTCTCCCCCCTTCTTCAGACCGATCGAGTATTGGTGGTACCCTCCGTGGTATCGGCAACCGCTGCTGCTTCCGGTTGTACTTTTCTTTCCAGATTAGTTGGAGATTTAACCTACATGGGGGAGTCGGAGACTGACGCTTCCCCTTTCTCGCAACCTGCTTGAATTCGGTTGGGATTCCATTGATCACCCCCTTCGACTGATGCATTTGTTTTGCTCGACCTAATTAGAAGAGGACGAACTCCCCTTTCCTTTTGTTGGACCCATTTGCGTAGATCAGTCGAACGTATACGAGGCTTCAAACAGAAAATGGTTTTTGATTTTGACCTGGTTAAAGTCAAAAAAAAAAATCAAACTTGCATTTAAAATGAACAAAATACACCCTCACTTGAACCATTTATGCAAAATGAGTCCATTCCCCAAACTTTAGTGTATTTTATTCAAAACAAACCCCAATAGTTAAATTCATTACGAATCGGTCCCGAGAGTATTTCAAAGTTCAAGAATTGTGGATTTTCGATTTCACACGACAAGTTTCTCAAAAGAAATCAAATTCGAACAAATGGAACTCACGCTTCAAGGGTGAGTTTCTACGACCCCTCTTTTACTGTTTTAATATTTAGGGGAGAATACATGCGTGTCTATTAAAGTTTGATGATTTTCAAGTTTTATGTACAAAATAGCATCATACTTTATTATTGGTCAAATGTTTATGAAATAGCAATCTAAAAATGTGATAAATCTCCAGTAAATCTATTAAGTTAAAGTATATTGTTAAAAAACGATATGTTTATACCTTATGTGAAATATGAATATAATTATTAAGAAAAATCACAAGATTATAATTAGATTGCTATAATAATACAAGCTGAAATTATAATTCACAAAAATGACGATTTCATATGTATAAGTTAAAGTATCTCATGGAAGTATGAAAAGATATAAAAATGACCCAAAATATTATTCACATATAAAATGAAAGTACATTGTCATAAATTTTGGAAAGACTAAGTTTATTAAATTATGTAATTATTAGCTAAAATTATCAAATTTAACTTTTAATATATAAGGTTGTGTAACAATGAATGGAACATGTATTAATATATTTTTATATTAATTATAAAAATTTAACTCAATTTACTAAGTTATAGATTTTTATTGCAATAAATAACATGATCGACTTCACGACTTAAGAGTCGTTATTTGCGAAATATTGTATAATATTAATCATGTAAATTATAAATATTATGGGAATTGTTAGGTTCACATTGGTTGAAACCTGGAAAATATCATATGAGCAGCCGTTATGTTGCCAAAATTTCGTCATAACAGACAATAGAAAATTTGGAAATCCATTAAGTCTTATGAATCCCAAATACTAAAAGACTTCAATCAGATATTATTCCTAAACAATAAAACTATAACTAATCAACAGTATTATACCGGAGGGTTTATGATTAGGATGCCTAGACATATTGTTAGGACTAGGGGTGAACATTTGGACCGAACCGGACCGGACCGGACCGACGCTTGGACCAGACCGGTTATGGAGAATATTGTGGACCATGGACCGGACCGGATGAGTCGTGTCCGGGTCCGGGTCCAGGTCCGGGTTTTCCGGTTCTTGGACCCGTTTGGACCGGTACAACTTTAATTGCATAGAGTACAAGTCGTTAAAATAAGTTTTTAGGTTTGATACGATACAACTTGTAAAAATGATTATGTTTCCGTTTCATGCATAACTAATCTACCTTGATGTTATAATATTATAAGTTGCAAAATTAATTTTCCAAATAAAATCAACTAACATATAAATCAAGTTCACCAAGATCCCTTTCATATGATTTATCTATCAAAGATACATAAAATTCAGAATTATAGTATAAAATGATAGTTAAAAAGTTGAAATATTTCATCTTTGATAGCTCAACTTTGAAGGATTGTAACTCACTGAATATAATACCACAATCAACAAAATTATAGTCTAAATTTATCTACAAACTGTAAAATAAATGTTGGAAAAAACCACAGGTCAATCCGACTTAAAACGAATGAGTTATGGTTGTTTAAAAATTTTCACAGATTACAAAATTTTAAAAATGTTGCTGAAAAGCTGAAAATTTTCAGCTTTGATAGCTCAACTTTGAAAGTCTGTAACTCATTGAATACTATACCAAAATCAACAAAACTATAGTCTAAATTCATCTACAAACTGTAAGTTAAACGCTGGAAAAAACCGTGTGTCAATCCAATTTAAAACGAATGAGTTATGGTTGTTTAAAAATTTTCACAGATTACAATTTTTTTTTAAATCGGGTCCAACCGGTTCTAAACCCGGTAAAAACCGGACCGGGAAAAAAACCGGACCGGACCGGGATGGATTTCTAGAACCGAGAACCGGCCCGGGGGTCCAAAAAAACGGTCCGGTCCGGTTCACCGGTCCACCGGTCCGGTCCGGTCCGGTCCACCGGTCCGAATGCTCACCCCTAGTTAGGACCCATCATACCCACGGGACGTTCTATATGAGTTACGTTTGTTCTAAAAGCTTTATGAGTTAGGATCATTTCCTAAGCTACATGGGCTATGTTTTTTAATCACACTAAGACCGTACATCTTAGCAAAATTCCTCTGTATCATAACCGTTAATTCGTACGGAACGAGGAATATTGAGTATATGTTCTGGATCACATACTTATATGGGTTGACATCCCGCCATCGGTTGCCAGCTACAACCATCGGCTGACGAGTCGAGCTTGGATGTTAGCGTTTCCTTCACTAATTTTTTCATCACGTCATCAAATACGTGGTGTGGTCTTTCAACACAACCTTTCAGTGTTGGTGCAGAGGTGTTTGTCACAGTTCGGTTATGAGCTCATTATAGATCCCAAATTTGCCTTGTTACTGTATAAGATCGATATTGGGTTTATACGGGGTTTTTGTTCACTCATACTAGTTGGAAGAGATTGTATCTAGTGGGATAGTTTGTGATTCGAAACGATGAGTGTCAATACCATAAATTAAGTTATACGACACTTAATTAATATCACGACACGACTGATTAAGGTTTAGAGTTGAGAGAGGTAAGGTATGTATGAATAATAAGTGTGTAAACCTTTGCTCATTTTGGAGAATATTCAATCTTGTTCTGATGTTTGGACAAACAGAATTACGATTCCATCCTTGACCTGTTAGTTTCATAGTCACCATCCTTTGCATCACATATATACGGATGTACTCTAACATGCTGATAATAGGTTTCTTCCTAGCATCCAAAATCACACTATTAAAGCTCTCCGAAAATCCATTCTCCATAGTTTCACAAGATGAATTGTGAACTCTAAAAAAGGTTAGAGACCAAGTCTTTGGATCTCTATCCATAAGTTGCTTAACAACTTCAGGATTTAACTTTTCAATCTCTTTCATAACTATGTTAAAATGTGCTTCAGCTGTTGCCTTGCTTGCTCTCCAAAACAAATTTTCAAACTTGGCTCCACTAAACTTCTTTCTAAAATTGGCATATATATGCCTAGCACACTGCTTATGTTCTGCTGCTGGGAATACTTCTTTGACCGCCTCAACCAAACCCTGCATATGTACCAGGAATAGGTGAAGTTAGAAATGTAAATATTTATTATACTATGTTTAATATTTTACAAACATACCTTGTGTTGATCAGAAATTAAAACCAAACCACTTCCTTCATTCCAACACTGCAAATCTTCTGAAAGTTTTTTAATGAACCATTTCTAATTCTCCTTGTGTTCCACACATACAACTGCCCAAGCAATTGGGAATATTCCATTGTTAGCATCCCTACCAACAACACAAAGCAACTCACCTTGGCAAAAACTTTTCAGGAAACAACCATCCAAGTTAATGATCCTTCAGGAAACAACCATCCAATTTAATGATCCTTTTACATCAGGCATTGCATCCACATAAATTTTAACAGTGGATCCATGATTTGATCTTTTAATCTCCTCACCGTAAGACTATATTCTAGCATAATTTTCTACAACCGTGCCTTCAGCTAGACTCAATGCATACTTCTTGGCTCTCCTACACTGACTTATACTCACAACCGTGCCAAAAGTGGTTTTCACCTCCTCTCTAAGTAATCTCACACTCATCTTTTGATTGTTAAAAATTTGTTGGGTAAAGTGGGTACCTATCCATTTATACGTGACAATTGATCCGAATTTGAAATTCTTTGAACAATTATGGTCACTAATAAGAGACTTGATTTGGAAAGACTTATCATCACTCATCCATGAACCCCAAACCCTAAATGTACATTTTCCATCACAACATTTGGCTAGCAACCGTCTACTATCATTTTTCACAAAACATAAATGATAACCATTTACAACATCATAGTTACTGAGCATGTGTTTCAATTGTTTAGGACTCTCAAACCTCATACCTAACATAGGTTCCTGCTCCTTCCAATGCAACTTTTCATTGAAAATATTTGATAACTCAGGATAAACATCTTCATTGTCATCCATGGCTTCTTCCAACGGGTCAACCAAACCTGCATTCTCACCCATGTCGACATCAGGGCCATTATCCTTTTTGAAAAAATGAGGGCTGCTATGGTCATCCTCATCTTCATCAGCATCCATATCCTCAGCCCCATGGTCATCCTCATCCTCATCTTCATCTTCATGCTCATCCTCATCTAAATGGCCTGTCTCAATTTCCTTAATTAGTCCTGCACCATCAATCACTTCTTCCACTATGTTGTCAACAACCTCTTCTTTGTGTTCATCCAACCATTCCTACATGTTACTATTACCAAAATGGTCTACATACATAGGGAGTATAACACCACATTCATAAGCTATTGCTATAAAATCGGCGTAATCCATCTCATTGGAAATTAAGGTCAAACCTTTGGGAAAATCAATATATGGTTGGCAGTAATAGAGCTTCTCACACTTTTCTCCAGTGAACCTTTCGATAAACTCATATCACCTGTTCTTGTCCATGCTTGCGAAATCGATGTCCGACAACCTCTGAGTAATCCCCCCGGTGTAACGTATGAGGTATTTTGCGAAGATTCCTTGGAAATGCACATCGATTTGGATGAATACGGGATCCATGTTTGAGGTTTGAGGAGACGAAAGCAAGTAGGGGTTTATTGAAAGAGATGAAAGTGGTGAATAGTCGACGGAAAAAGATCTCGTTTAAGTAAAGCTATATAATGAACAGTGAGTGAACAAATTAATATTTAGCATTATTAAATGACATGCATACACAGTCAGCAAGCCAAGGGGTTTAAATAACACATATGACATAAATATGACCGGTTGACCCCTTCAAAAATGAAATAGTGACGTAATCAACCCGACAAAATAAAGTTTGTTTCCTCATAAAACCACTTAAAAAGTTAAGTGACTAAAAAAGTAAACCCTAAAAAGTTCATAGGTCGTATGTGCAATTTTCCCTAAGTTATAAGTCATTTCAAAAAGTCATAAATTCTTACTTCTTAAAAACTTATTTCCAAAGGATAGACAGAAAGTTGTTTTGAAAGTGTTATTGTTGCCTTTTTAAAAAGTTAATACATAATTTTTAGAATACCATTTTATTATTGATTTGAAATAGAAAAGTAACACCATTTTATTATTGAATTGAAATAGAAAAGGGCAAATTCTTTATTAGTTTTGACTAGCCCTAAAATACTTTGCAACTCGTTTCCGCCAACTCTCACTCTCCAAGTCTTGTACTCTTGTACTCGTGTACTATCCCTTTTGCTGCAATCACTCTAGACATGGAGCCAGCTGAGTCTCCGTTTAGGGTAATGTTCTTCTTTTCCCCTTCTCATTTTTATCAAGTAATTATTCAATTTGCTTAGGGTTTTTTTCGATAGAGTTTGCATTCCGATTCCTGTTACTTCCCCTAAGTTTACTCCAATCTTATGGATGTTCTAGAACTTGATTATAGCGTTTCGAAGCATCAATCTTTTTGGGGTAGTTGTTGAAGATGGCATGAATTTTGGAAAAGAGTAATAATCAGTACTGGCTTTGATAACATAAGTGATTCTGATGCTCTGCAGATAATCCTGGGATCGTCTTCCATTGCCCGTCGGAAAATATTAGCTGAAATGGGATACGAGTTCGCACTCATGGTATTGTTTGTTCATGTTACACACACGTATTACGTATATCTATATTTGTGTGCATATAGAAGGTCAATTGTTCAACTCTTTTCCACTATTTAGTCTGCAGATATAGATGAGAAAAGTATCAGAACTGAAAAGCCAGAGGAGTTGGTGATGGCTCTAGCAAAGGCAAAGGTAGGTTATTGTTTGAACACCATTACAATGACATATTGTTCTCATATGTATCTTCAAGTCCAGTCCTTTTATTATAAATTCTCATGTGATGTAACAGGCTGATGCCATTGTGTCCAAGCTTCAAACAAGTGATGATCAGAAGAAGGATGTGATACCAAGTATTCTAATAGCATCTGATACGGTATGTTTTTCTCTCAAACATAATCACCTGAAAGTATCAAAGTCCTCCATTCACCACTTGCCTTCTTTTTCTATGATAAACTGCATTTTCAAGTTTATAGAGCTATAGTTTTGTAATAAGTAATGTTGCTTATTTGTTGGGGATATTATGATTCTAAATTTCAGTTTATTGTTCTTCATTTGTGTTAATTAATAGTTGTTATTAGGCAGAAGGTAAACCAAAGCTCCATAGTGGTGAAGACAAGGATGCTGAGCCAACACTACTAATTACTTGTGACCAAGTATAAATCAATTCCCTATTTTCCTTAAGCTTCAAATGTTATTACATGTTCAAATGAAGCAATGTGAAGGGACATCCATTATCCATATCTAGCTACCTATTTATTGATTATTCTACAAACCCAATGAATTAACATATAAACTTTGAATCCCTCTATCCAAAAATGTTTGATTAATGCATAAACTATCAAGTATGCATTGCTATTAGCTGTTGATGCCTAGTAGATTTTTTTTTAAACTGAAAGAAAGTTTTGCTAAAATAATCATTATTTATAGGTGGTGGTCTATGATGGCACAATAAGGGAAAAACCCTCGAGTGAAGAAGAAGCACGCCAATTTATCAAAGGTTTTGATTTATTATTATTATTATTATTTGAATTGAATTGTATGCTTCTTGGTTTTTGTGGTTCTTATAAGCAGTGGTGACAGATTATTCTGGCAAGCATGCAGCCACTCTTAGCTCTGTTTTTGTTACAAATCTCAAGACTGGATTCACAAAAGTGGATTGTGACAAAGCAGAGGTACTATTTATTTTATAAACTAATGCATTTTTAAAATTTTTTTTTTGTAGTATCATAATTAGTCATAAAATCATTCCTTAATGTGGTCATTGTTTAATGGTTGCAGATTTATTTCCATGAAATACCGGATGATGTTGTTGAGAAGCTGGTACAAGAACATTACCATTGAAGTTTCTTGTTTTTAATTAATATTTGGAATTTTATAATTTATATAAATATGTTTGTGTTGATCCTATTTTAAACAGATTGAGGAGGGGCTTGTGCTCAGGGTTGCTGGGGCGTTGATTATTGAACATCCATTGGTTGCTCCATATGTTAAAAATCTGGTTTGTCTCACCTCAATTTGACCCAAAAAAAAAAAAGATAATGATTGTTATAAATAGTATTGTTTATGATATTGAGAATGGTGTGTGTGTGTGTGTGTCTGCAGATGGGGACAAGTGATAGTGTAATGGGACTTCCTAAAGCTCTCACTGAGAAGTTACTAAAGGAGGCTGTGAATTCATGAGGATGTTAGCAAAATTTTGACTTGATTGATTATATGCAACATTCCTCCACGGATGACCATATTATTCCAGACAAGAAATCAGGGCTGTATTGTAATGTTTCTATATATGATGTGGTGTACCTGTACTTAATGGTGATTGGTCAAAACTTTCTATTCAAACATTGTTGTTTGTTTGATGATGGCATATGCACATGGATCGAAAGATTTATCTCAAGGAAGTATGGTTTTTTTCTATACCAAATTTGATGAGATGAATGGTATAATACTAAATATGGGGTTATATACTGTTTATTAATACCAGATTTGTTGTTAAATATTCATGTATGTATTTGTGTTAAAATTTTTTAGTTGGAGTTGGGGGTTTATAATTTTTAGATTATTTTAATTGAGTTTTTGTATTTCGAGTTAATATAACTGTATACTTGTATTTTAAATGTAATAGAAAGGAAGGAGATCCCAATAAAAAAGTTTTGGGCCATTTATTAAAAGAGGTAATGGCCGTGGGAATAGTATACATGTTGAGGGAATAGTATACATGTTGAGATATCGATTGTTGGAAGTTTTGTGGGGGACATTGGAAAAGTCATTTGCACAACTTCTCTTTTATTGTCACAATGCGAATGAATGCACCATAACACACATCAAGATGGATGAGTTCTTCTTTTCTGTCATTGATTGTGTGTTAAGATTCAACTTCATTACAACATATAGCATCAAATGTTTCTTCATAATAGAATTTTTTTAACACATCTCATTGCAGCTTTAGATGTTTATTACAACTTTGTGCTGGTTAATCCTCATAGATGTTGCCCTCAAAGAGAAATACTTGGAAGTGGGAACCATGTTCATGTTCATTGCAGTAGTCATGGGTGGATAGAATGAAATCTTTCACCCTAGCCTATGTTGTTGGCAAGATAGAGAGTGGGGTTTTATCAAAGCTCCATTCAACAAAGATTTAGAAGACTTAGCAATCACATTAGATGAGATTCAATCCATTGAACAAGCAGTTGGCCTCACTTGGGCTGCTCGGGCATGTATTTATTCCCAAACTTCGTTGTTGGCATTTGCTAAGTATGATGCGAATTTGGAAATGTGGGATTACTATTCTTTTTAATAATTGTTGTAGAGCATATTTTGTGGGATTATTGAGATTGTCACAAAGATCTTCTCCCAAACAGTTACTTTTCTTCTTCTTATTTTTTTTTTATCTTTTTTATGTATGGACTAATATAACATTATGAAACCGTACATTAATGGTAAATAGAATATTGATTTTATTAATTTACGAGTTTAGAATCCAATGATCTAAAATCATTCTAACATTCTAATAATAACGAAAATTCTCATATGAACCTAACTCTATATATACCGAAATAATACATTAGAAGATCCTCAAAAGATGGTATTTTTCAAGATGAAATTCTATGAAATACCTACTTATAAAAGACAGATTATTTATGAATGACATTCCTATAATATATGTATGAATAGTGAAAATCTAAAATGTGAAAGATATGGAAATCTTATTTGATAAACATAAGGCAAAGTCTTTTTATTTATTTATTTATTTTTTTGAAAGAGGTGAAGTCATATGACAAAGAAGATGATAAACATGTATAAAATTTTTAAAGAAACAAACCCCATGCCAAAGGCATTCAAGTCAAAGGGAGCATATTCATGTGAGCAGGTCAAACAAAATATACAAGTACAAATTTTTAAGTTTCGTAAAAAAAAGATAGTCTTTTGTAGGCCTTAAACCAATTTTAAAACTTAGCAAGCCTAAAATGCAAGAATTGTATACCACGACAGATATTAAATTTGTAATCTCATTTCTAATGCAAGCAACCATGAGAAAGTCTGCGAGTATCATTATTTCACAACATAACATAAGAGTACGTAAAACCTCCAAAAAGACACAACACAACAACATATCATATCATCCATCGTCTCGGTTGCAACAACAACCATACTTACTTAACATCATAAACATAAACATCCCTACAAACAGACTTTACTTATTCATCAAACATGAAACTGAAAAGCATCAGAGAATGTCGGACTCATGAGGCATAAAGTCCTCACTAGGCCTATAGTATTTTGCAGGGGAGTACAGCCCCAGATTTCCCACCTGACTTGTGTACAGACATGCAAAACGCTCCACCTATCACAATTTACAACCAAAATAACCAACCAATCAATAAAACTAACTTTTTTTTTTTTTTTTTTTTTTTAACACAACCAAATTATACAACCTAACCACACATGAGATGTTCATGTTTGTTCATAACTGAATGTTCATGTTCAGTTATGAAGGTGTGGTTAGGTTGTATGATTTGGTTTTGTGTTGAAACTGTAGGATTAAAAAGAAAAGGTGTGTTAAGTCAAGAAGTGACCTGGTGTGCAAAGCGGGAGTTTTGGTACCCTGTTTTCATCAGCTGGCCCCACACCGGATGAAACTATATTGAATGTATACACACATACATAAATATATAATATCTATAGATCTAATACAATTACTTGTTAATTTGTAGTTTACCTTCTGGTGGAAGATCCTTTGAGACTCTTGATGAGCTGCCCTGACACGTGCCCGCTGCCCCTCAAGCACCTCAAGCTTTGCACTGATCTTTTCCTTTTCACCAACATCCAGATTCTCATGCCTGAAACCAAACCAAAAATAATCACAAAAATTTCAAGAAAATAAAATAAAATAAAATAAAATAGTAGGTTAGGATACGTTAACGTACTCGAGGGACCACTTCAAATGATGAGTCTGATCTTCAATCTGATCTCTCTCACTCCTAAGCAGTTGCAGTTTCTGCACAAACACAGCATATATAAATAAATAAATATTTAATATCTCACAAAAAAAAGAAAAAAAAAAGCTTACCTTTCGAGTGTCACGTGAGGATGCCAGAACTTTAACCTCCTTTTCAAGTTCTGGAACAACAAGCATTGTCCTCCAGCCTATCCCCCCAATCAACCACATCACATGTTAATTAATAATTCTATAAATAAAAAACCAAACAAATCCATAGCTATTACCAAGAACTTTTTTGCTGCGTAAGATATCCCCATATATATGATCTCCAACATAAAGAACCTAACAAAATATCTTAATTGTAACAAACTAGAATGATCAAAAATTACATATGAAGAAAGAGAGGAAAATACAAACACCTGTGAGCTTGAGCCAACATTGAGTAGTTTATGGAGATGTCCCACATTGCCTCCCTGAAAAACCTTGCATTGCTTCGGGATGTGATCTGGCAGATCTAGATCAGGGCACCCCACCTACTCATACATAATTTAAAAAAAAAAAAAAAACATTTTACATATGAAGAAGAAACACAAGGAGTTTACCTGAACATGGGCATAAAACAATAACCAACCTGAGCAAGTGGAGTGCCATTATCAGTATTGATTAGCTTCCCTGACTCCGTCTCAACAGCGAAAAGATTAGCACGGTTTAAATCATGGAAAAACCCTGGTTTCGCACTGCATCAACCATGCAAAATATTTACAAATAAACCATGTATAGTGATTTTATTTTATTATTATTATTTTTTGAAATATATATATATATATATATATATATATATATATATATATATATATATATATATATATATATATATATATATATATATATAGTCAAGTTAAAAGCATGTTGCAGTACAGATTTTTATTTTTATTTAAAAAAAAGAAAGGAAAAAGAAAAACCAGAACCTGCCAGTGATGACAAAGTCAAAATGCTGGAGCCAATCAAGACTTGGAGAGGATTCACCGTTCTTCGTCTGAGTCCCACAAACAAAATTCATAACAACATTTGTGTAATCCCAGAGGCTGCATTACATGAATAAAGAAAGGTCAAATGGATATTATTATTATACTAGGTGAAGGTATTGAAACATTCAACTGTTTTTCACAAGTAACAAATAAAACTATTATGAATATAACATTGCATATAGATAATAACTGTTTGATTGTAAAATAGGAACTACTGATAATATTATTTTTATATATATATATATATATATATATATATATATATATATATATATATATATATTATGAAACATCTCGAGGTCATATATTTTAAAATAATATGCAAGTTGTAAGCATTTTGTGCATATAGTATAGATATACCTGTTTGTCACCAAGAATACAGCGCGACCAGAAGTTTTAAGCATTTTGAGCATTGGGACTATCGAGTTGTCCTCATTGATATACCTGATAATTGAAAAACATGTTTAAGGAGATTGACAAAGCCACTGAAATGCAAAAACATATTTAAGCATTTTGTATTCAATTTTAATCTTAGGGGTCTATTACGTAACCTAGCCTCGCTTATGTGTCTTAGCAAGATACCCCTGCAAGTTGAACAAGTGTAGTATCTATGCACCAACTCAAGGGGGCTGGCAGAGTAATTCACTAATCTTAGTTATTTAGCAGAGACTTGGGTTCCTAACTTGAAGAAATTTACTTCCTAATTTATGGAGATTTTATTCTATTATTATTATTATTACCTTTTTGGTATCTTTCTTAACACATGCATAAATAGCTCTATAAATTGACAAAGTTGTTCAATCTTTGGTAAGGGAAGAAAACTTAGTACTTAAAATACCTGCATTCAGTAAATGAGTTTGGATTCATGTTCTTTCACCATTAGTCTTTACTCATGGTTATACTTAATTCAATATTAGATTGGTTGATTTTTATGTTTTTTATATTATGTATACACACTAATCTAAGACTAGTGATCGAAAAAGTAAAAGTGACAACACCTAATATGTTCAAAATCAAATCTATTTTATTTAAGACGTTTCATCAGTTACAATTATACCTCACACTCACTTGGAAAGTTGTTCAGCCGTAGAGAAAGAGAATTACCAAACTTGGAAAATTTTCATTATTTATATTTTTGTTGTTTTCTTTAAGAGTCAAAATGATGAGTTAGTAGTGATCAGCTATGTGGTATCACGTGTCCTTCCGTGTTAAGTAGGAACTCAAACTGGTTTCCACGTATACACAATAAGCGGTCATTACAAACAGCTGGAGTGGACACCTCTTTTACAATTTATAAGCATCAAGTCACGTCACATGTCCTTCCGTGTTAAGTAGGAACTCAGACTCATTTCCACCTGTACACAATAAGCGGTCATTACTAGACACCTCTTTTACAATTTATAAGCATCATGCATCCTTCTGTGTTAAGCAGGCCTTCCATCCACCCCCAACTTTCATTTTCCTCCACCTCCGGTAACTAGTGTAAGTCCCTTCTTCAGACTCCTTTCATGTAGAGCACCTTTCACATATGTATTGTAGTAGTTTCTCCAATAAATATACACTATTCTACTCTGCCTTGTAGATCACCTTTTAGACTTCACCTCTTTTTCCCTGCTTGTTCTCTTACAGTTTCTTCATTTATTTAGTCTTGCCATTTTGGCCCATAAATCTGTATATTTGTTGTATAGATAGTCGGTTCCTAATATTAAGTTGTAGCTGTATCTAGATATATATTGCCATCTTTATTTATTTGATATCCTTTGTATTGTTAAAGATTTACAATATCTATTGAGCTATATAGATATTATTTGCATGTTAGTTACTTAGTTATTAGAGAGTGTAATTGGTTAAGTAGTGGTACTTGGGACTGAGAAGGCGAGGAATAGAGTAGGTGTTCTATTGTCTCCGAAGCTGAAAGAAGAATTCGTAATAGGATTATGGTCCTGAAGGTAGCATCCGAGGAGGTGCTGAACATTGTGAGCATGTGCAAAGATTGCAAGGCTTACGCATCACAACACACATGCTTGTCATGGATCTACTCATGCCAATGAGATCTGAAGCTACACCTAGGATTCTTTGGAATAACAGCAACCGAGGCTTTTGGGGATATGGTGCTCTTTAAAGCAGAAGTTGATGCAGATCATGCAACGAATGCATAGCTGGTATGGAATAGAGTGATCAGTTGCATCAAAGAGGTTGCCACAGACACACTTCATCTTCATGGAAGCCAAGGCAAGGTAGATAGAAAATGAGCAAAGGGGTTCCAAGCTAAGGTTAAGGTTAAACAAACTCGCTTTAAGAAGGAAGTCTTCTGAGTGTAGTAAGGGCAGGGATAGAGGCATAGCATAGGAAAGATATAAGGGAAGCCAAAGGAGAAGTGAAGAAAGCAGCGATCAAAGCCAAGGCCATGACATACAAGGAGATGTATGGGAGATTGGGCACAAAGGAATCTTCAAGCTAGCAAATCCAGATAGAGACAAAAAGACAGAAAATGTTAGGTATATTAAGGATGGCAATGGTTGAAAGATAGAGAATATTAGAGGATACTAAGGGGTAGCTATTTTCATTCCTTATTTAACAAGGCTACTTCGTTGATGATGGATATGAATGTGGAAAGCTTGGAAAGGAGTCAGCTTACTTGCAATAAAGGGTTCTGCTTAAAGATTAGTAGCTAGGAAGTAAAGAGGGCTTTAAGGAGGATGGGTAGGAAAAAGTCATAGTTTTTTATTAAATCCATATTAGTTGCCTTGGGGAGGAGAGACTTTAATGGTTGAAAATAACACTATCTTAGAGATGGCCAAGATGCTTGAAACGGAAAGATCTAGTCAGTCATAATATTATATAAGAACCAAGAAGATGCACAAAGCCACGGCAATTATAAAGATATTAAGATACTTAGTCATACAATAGAACTGGGGAGAAAGTGTTAGAGGTAATGAGTTCAGTGGGGAGTGTAATGAGGAGTAGAGACAACTATTAGGAAGGAAGTCCTACACTTAAAGGAGAGTTGCAAGTACTTGTGGTCTGTGATTTATAACAAAGAGGATGTTAAGCTAGATTGCATAAAGGTGAGTTGGCTAAAGTGAAGATGTTTTGTGCAACAAGAATAAAATTCTATAGGATGGCAGTTTTTGTGGAACTGGATCCGAATGGCAGTTAGGAGGTGAGATTGCATAAGTGAGGTCTTGGGCACCACTCCTAGCTTTGTGACATTGGGGTGGCGTACACCCTCTGTTAGTTTCATTATGGTTTCCTTATACCAAATAAAATATGTTTAGTTAGTGTTATCGGATTGAGATTGCTCCCTCTTTCCTCTTACTAATTTATAGTGTCATGGGTGCTTTAGTTTACTAATTTTCTTCAGATTCCGGTTGGACAATACTCAAAAGATTTTGCATTTATGTTTTTCCCCCCTCCCCACCAAATCAGATCCTGCCAGTTCATAATGGCTTAATCGCAAAATCAGAGCATTAATTAGAGAAAAGAAAATCCACCCTTCGTGTACACTTAACACTCCTAGCATTAAGGGCAGTTGGGTTCATACCATTTAATTACCTCTTATATACCATTCTCCATCCTAAACATATAATATTTCTGACTACGCATTACAACTTTTAATCTGACTACTCTGATAAAAGGAAAACTTATAAATACAGCTGAAAGGATTAAATCAGTAGGGGTGGAACAAGGATCTTTGTGGTGTTGTGTCACTACAGCAAAAAAAATATATATATTTAAAAAAAAGTAAATTAAAAAGTAAAATATGGTAAATAGTTATTGCAATAAAATTTCGTTGCAAACACTGGATGTACATGTTTTAAAGCATGTATTTTCATGTGTTGCAACTGTTATGTTGTATTGTGAATGTAAGAATTTATTTGACACGTTTTGTTCCATCTTATATTTAAATTTTAAGATCAATTACTTCAATTTCATCCTCAAATTTGGAAAAAAAAAATTCCTCTGTTAATAAAAAGGTCAAATGGATATCACTAGCTAGTTTGAGTTCTAAAAAATTATCATCAAAGAAAAGATATCAGGTCCATCATAATCTATTTATAAAATTCTCAACAAAACTTATAACGAAAATCAAAACAGCTATGAACTGACTTAAACTTCTGATTAATACTGAGCAAAATTTTCAACACTTAAAAGTTCAAAACATGTTATATTTATATATTATGATAATTAGAAAAATTCGCATGTAACGTGACACCATGGACATCACAGACTCGTAGTTCCACCCCTACTGAGAAGAAAACTGTAGTCTTGCAATGTTATAGTTACATAACATAAGCCAAAAGCTACTTTTTTAAACCAGAAAACATAAATTGACAAGTGAAAAACACATACTTTTTTATATCTTTTGCAACCAATGTCTTCAAAGTTCCATCACGATGGCACATATCAACAGCAGAACGGACATCGTTATACAGACGAGAGTAGCTGCAACAAATTATTTGAAATGTTAACATATATTGAGATACCATTCCAAAAAACAAACAAGTGTGCCCTTTTAGTTAGTTCCCTTTTCAACACAAAAATAATGATTTTCAGATTTATTACCATGAATAGCCACACACATTCCATACAGGCATGCATGAATATACTTTAAACACTTGTTTTCAGCTTTCAAATGATAAACTGAATCTTACCTGTATACTGTCATTTGTACATACTTTATTGTTGAATTTTACTTTTAACTCTTATTTTCTCAAAATTTTCTTTCGGACTTCTGTTTATTAACATAAGATATCTCAAAACTGAAAAGATTATTTCCCTTTAATGTGATTAAACAGAAACATTAACAAGTTGCGATTGAAGAACGGAAACCAAAAGAAGGAACACATTCACAGGCAGATAGCATGTGAAAATAAAAGAGATAAATGCAAGAAAAAACATCGTACTTTCATTTACTTGCATTATAACATCTTACTTCCATTTTTTTTTTCTGTTACAGCATTGTACTTTCAATTTTTTTTTCTTATTACTTACATTTTTTTTCTTACTAGGACATCATACTTCAAAACTATACCTAATTATAGCAGTGAAAATTTCTTTGTATTTGCATAATATTGCTATAATTGGGTAGAATTATCAATATACATATATGTAATGACAATAAATGAAAGTAGGATGCTATAATATAGAAACCAATGAAAGTACTTTGCTATATTTTGCAATTAAGCCGATATAGAAATGCACGTACAAATGTAAAAGATTTACAGTCTGATATAGAAATGCCAATACAAATGTACAAAATGCGTCTTTTTTAAAGGAGTATTTTCTTATCAAGGTCATCTAAGTTGAAATGATCATCACATTACAGAAGAGAACTTCAATCCACCTCAAAATTAGAAGTCCACTTCAAATTTGGAAAATCAGCCTAGTGTTTTTTTTTTTTTTCTCTGAATTCACATTTGTAGATATGCTGTTCCAAAAAGATTCTTTTGTAACACATTTTTTAAATTATAGGTGGTTATCAATTATATTAATTACAGCAAAATCATTCTTACAAGTTACCATACTTGAATTTGAAAAGCAAGAGTTAATACAAGAAAGTTAATAGCAATCAAGTGAATCCCACAACATATTGAATGAATGTTTTTAAGTCAATTACAACTACAGCATCAAGCGGATACTGGAAATATGTTTAGTTGGTTATATTTGCAATTAAGAAAATAAAAAAGTTTTAAGTTATCTACACCCCTTACTCTTTTTCTTCTGGTATTTTCCCTGGGTTATTATCCTTGAAGTCAACCAGCTGAGCAAATAAATAAGCTTCAGCTAGAGAGAACAGGGTATCAATATGTGCATAGTCAGGCCCATCAAATGCATCTCGGACAAAGCTATTCCCATATGTAGCAACCTTTTCATTCTTTGATATCAGCCTAAATCCATGATAGCCTACTTTCACATATTTGTGCCTGTCCATCTGAAACAGATAAGATAACAAAAGAATTAGAAATAGGGAAAAATCAACAATCTAAGGGCGTGTTTTGTTGTGAAATGTTTTCAATTTTCTAGAAAACGTTTTCAGCAAATGGAGTCGAGTTCTCATTTTCAGTTTTCAGTGAATTTTTTTTTTATTTTTTTAAAAAATAACACATTTTGTTAAAAGTGGTGGAGTTTTCATTTTCTATTTTAGAAAAATTAACAAACGCGTTTGGTTGTGTATTTTCTACCACTATTCATGTGTAATTCAACATGCCAACACCCACCCATCTCACCCCTCATCCCCATCCCACCTACACCCATACCCATACCCACACCCACCCCTACCCACATCCACACACCCACCCACATGCCTACATCCACCCACCCCTACACCATCCACCCATACCCACCACCCACCCCCACACCACTTAGAAGTGGGTAGGGTGGGTATGGGTGGATGGTGTAGGGGTGGGTGGATCTAGGCATGTGGGTGGGTGTGTGGATGTGGGTAGGGGTGGGATAAGAGTAGAGGTAGGGGTAGGTGTGTGGGAAAATATAGGTATAGGGGTAGGGGTGGGTGGATGTGGGGATTTTGAATAGGGTGGGTGGGGGTAGGGGTATGGGTGTGGGCAAATGAAGGTAGAGGGGTATGAGGTGGGAGTGGGGGTAGATGTGGAGATTTGGGATAGGGTGGTGGGGTTAGGTGGGTGTGAGGTAGGTGTGTGGGCAAATGAAGGTATAGGGGTGTGAGGTGGAGGTGGGGGTGGGTGGATGTGGGGATTTGGGATAGGTGGGGTGGGGTGGGAGTGGGATGGGAGTGGGGGTAGGGGTAGGGGTAGGGGTGTGGACAAATGGAGATAGGGATGTGAGGTGGATGTGGGGATTTGGGATAGGGTGGGGTGGGGTGGGGCGGGATGGGAGTGGGGTAGGGGTAGGGGTGTGGACAAATGGAGGTATAGGGATGTAAGGTGGATGTGGGGATTTGGGATAGGGTGGGGTGGGGTGGGGTGGGATGGGAGTGGGGTAGGGGTAGGGGTGTGGACAAATGGAGGTATAGGGATGTGAGGTGGATGTGGGGATTTAGGATAGGGTGGGGTTGGTTTAGGTGGGTGTAGGGTGGGATGAGAGTGGGGGTAGGGGTGTGGACAAATAGAGGTATAGGCGTATAAGGTGGGAATGGGGTGGGTGGATATAGGGATTTAGGATAGGGTGGGTGGGTTTAGGTGTGTGTGGGGTGGGATGGGAGTGGGGGAAGGGGTAAGGGTGTGGGAAAATAGGGGTATAAGGGGTGTGAGGTGGGGGTGGGGAATGGATGGAAGTGAGGATTTAGGATAGGGTGGGGGTGGGGTATGGTGTTGGTGTGTGGGGGGATGGGTTAGGTGGGTGTGGGGTGGGATGGGAGTGGGGGTGTATGGTAGGTGGATGTGGGGATTGGTGGGTGTGTATGTGTGTTTGTAGGTGGGGATGGGGGTTTGGGGTTGGAGGGTGAGGATTGGGTAGGGTGGGGGTTTGGGTTAGGTGGGTGTGGAGTGGGGTGGGGTATAGGTAGGGTGTCGGTGTGGGTGTGTGTTTGTAGGTGGGTGTAGGGGTTGGGTGGGTATGAGGGTGGGGGTTAGGTGGGTATGAGGGTGGGGTGTGTGTGGGGTGGGATGGGATGGATGTGAGTGTTGGTGTTTGTGTAGGAATTACATTTTAGAAAAAAATTAGAAACATAAAACTTTGGAAAACAATAAAAACCACTTTTTCTAATTTACATACAAGTTGAAAAGTGAAAAAAAAAATCTTAGAATTTTTTTTTTTGAAAACCGAATCAACCAAACACGTGTTCAAAATTTTCATTTTGCTTGGAAATTTTTTCTGAAAAACTAGAAACTTTTCTACAAGCAAACGCATCCCAAGGCAATTAGTTCAAAATATGCTATTCTCATAACGATGTAATTAGGAATAAAACCTTCAGTATATTTCCTCTCTTTTTATCAAGAACCAGTCCTCTGACCATGTATGTCCAATCAAAAGACCATTTCAGTAACTGCATCAAAAAAAAAGATTCATATTTGAGAACCAAAACCAAAATATTTGTATAAAGCAGGATGAAGATAACAAACCTCTGCAGGGTATCCCAAGTTGCTTACTAGCTTTTCAACTGTACCATCATATGCAAGGGACTCAAAAGTGTCAGCCTTGTACTGTGCCAAGGTATAGTCCATATCAAAGCCAACAGCAACTATATTTTTCATATTCACAGCACTGTTACAGAAAATCTGTTTGCCTATGTCAATGTTTTGCCTTCCTTCAGGCGATGACCATAAGCCTGGAAACTGAGCATCTCCACAGCCATTAGTTCCTTGTATCCCTGACATAACTCCATCTGCGCTATAGGCATCCATTTCACAACTTGCTCCTAGTTACAGATCCTGTTTAATAGAAGATTAGTGATTATCTTTCTGATGGTTGATGAAAGCAACTTCACTGAAGAGAATACCATTTGAAAGGATAAGTAAAAATGACACAAAATTCATCAAACCTGGATACAACCAAAAGAGAAAGAAAGAAGAAACATCAACATGCATTTGAAGCAAATTTCAACATTAGACACATGTTAGGCCTAAATTTGAACAAGCAAAGAGAGCATTTTAGTAAAATTGCAAAACAGGAGAACTGAAACCTGGTATCGATTAACTAGCAGGCCAAATTTTCATACTATCACCTAAAGAAATACGAAATACAAAAAGATAACATGCGCCTAAAGCAATTCAACAGTAACCGGGTAAAGTATAACAGATTTCAGACATTCAGTTCAGAAATCATAAAAAGTCCTTTCAGATCAAAGAAGAGGAGCACAAAACAGTAGAATTCGAGTAATGTCTATCGAACTAGCACAAAAACTCGAATTATTCAGCCGATCAACACAAAAAACCTTGCATGCAAAGTAAAATTCGCCACTGAACCGGTACAGAAAGAAGCGAATTCAAAAATTACTAGAAAAAACCACTTCAAAACAGATACAAAATCAGAGCATTTGAAGTAGATCAATAATAATAATAATTCGAACAAACGTTGAGACCTTTTGGCAGTGCAGAAGCTTTCCGAAGGAGAAAAACCTAAATCGGCAATCGAAGAACCAAATTGGGGAAAACTGGAATGCGAAGGGTAGAGAAGAAATAAGCAGATTAAAGAGGTGGGGGTTTTGGGTATACGCATCTTATCACTTGTCTAATAAAGGCATTCTGGGAAGGTGGATCAACGTGACAAGCGGAATCCGATATGAGAACACGCAGCATCGTCGTGTCAATTCGTGTTGACGTTCGATTGCAACCTGGCAGCGTTGTTAATGATGATGATGCAAGATACCGCTTCAACAAAATGCGCTTACGCACATCAGTTGGAATTTAGCGAGTAATAGCAGGATTCGTAATTGAAATTTGATGATAGTTCATTTCTGGACGGAACCGGATTCCCCTGAAAACACGCTTCGTTTTCAGGGGAATAGTATTTGAGAAGGGTTTGTGTGAAAATGGCGGGGTGGGACACGTGTATGGGCGGTTGTTCGGAGGACGTTACCACAGTGAGTGGCGGCAGTGGCGGATGATGGTGGTAAGCGGAGGGTGGAGGTGGTTTTATGCTTTTTGCGGGTGGTGGTTTGTTGATGAACTCACGGAGGAGGAGTGAAGCTGGGCGGGGGAAATTGGATTTTTGGATGATATAAAACATTAACCCCTTGTAGTTTTCTAGTGTTTCAGTATGGTCCCATGTGATTTGACATATTGACTTTTATGGCCCACGCTTTAAAGCATGTACATTTTTGTCTCACTAAAAGTGGGTACAAGACAATGAAGCACAAATAAGTGCATCCATTGATGCTTGTCCAAATGTAGATGGACTTTAAATGTCCACAACTTGAAAAATTAGAGTTGAAATGTAAACATAATTGTGGTTATATATAAGTACTAGCTAATCATTATAACAGTGATATTATGTCGTTTTATAGTCATGGTTTAAAAAAAAACATTAAATGATATTTGGCAAAAAAAAATTGTACATCTATAAATTAAGCAGATCTGGTTATTTGATCAATTTGTTAACCTATCTTAATCAAGCCCTTTCAATTCAAAAGAGTCCAAAAACGTTTAAATGTACTTTGTGCAGATAGTTTTTATCCAAGTCACGTTTCCAATACTTACACTAGCAATATTTATGTGATGAAAAGAGAAGATGGTAATATGTAGATTTTTTAGAAATTTAGAAATTGAAGGATGTTGCATGTGGATAATTAAAGTTCAATTTAAATCGTTTGATAAAGCCTTTTTATATACACATTATGAGGGTAGTTCGTTGTCATCATGACCGGCCACCACAATCATGCACACCACCCTGTGTACATCGTGATGGTTGTGTGTGGTTGATTGTGGTCATGACAACGAAGGCTAACAACCAATCGTTTTTTTATGTGCTTTCCTCTTTTCTTCTCTATCTTCTTCACCATAGCAGTATAACCGGGACCACATGTAGTGGTGTTGCTTGTTAACCTGGAAGCTTTTTACGTGCCTTGGCGTGAAAAGTATACAAGATGGTCTAATAAATATAAATCTGATTAATTTCAACTTCATTTGGTGATATCTATCTAGACAAGAAAATGTCTTTGATTTTTCTTTAAAGAAAAAAAAATCATAACAAAAGGAAAATGAAGATACAATTGACACTATTTCAACAACTAAAAAACAAACGAAAACCAAACATAAAAATTTCAAACTAATTCAAAATTTCAAATATTAACTTTTTCTCTAGTAACTCAATATTGAATGTTATTTGAGATTTTAAGTGCTAAATTTCAATCTTTTTTTCAATATGAAGAATCGTCTCTTTATTTTTAACGAGTGCATTAATTCTTTATATTATATAACACTGATAGTTATTTATTTTTGTTATTTAAAGTTAATTTTACCTTTTGGGTTTATGTCTTTTATGAGGATGAGGATGAAAGAGTGAACTTTTTTCTTATTTGGATTTTATTTACGAAGGTGAGAATAGGGATGCACACGTTTTTTATCCTTAAATGGGTTTTTGTCTTTTTATACATATTTAAGTTCTTTAAAAATCTTGATTTTGTAACAAAATTGGTTGGGTGTATAAAAGAATATATAAACATAAACTTACAAGGAACTTGGTTGCACATATCTAACTTTGGTGGAGCATCATAACTGCAAGTACTATATTTGCAATATTTTTATCATGAAGGACTTTAACTTATAATCTACTGAAAATAAGGGGGTGTCAAGAAATTATCTCGGAAGGTAGCAAGTTTGTTAACTAAAAACTGCCAGGCTGTCAGGGGCTCGAAGGCCTCTCATGAGAATATACTTGATCCCTTATGTAAATTTGATTATCTAGAGATATTGACAAATTTAAAACAATTATGAATTATATTTTGTCATAAAATATCCAAAACGTATTCATTTTTAAGTAGGTGGGCCAATTGCAAAATACAAAAGTCCAAAAAGATATCCCCATATTTAAACCAAAAATTCGATCATTTCACTCATTTTTCTTCTTTAATTTTACATTACATTTATAAACTCCTCCATCACGAAACCCCAACGATCTTGAAAACTATTTTCTTTTTTTGTTGATCATGCCAAACAAATAATATGTTAGAGAGATGATTTATAAGTTTGGAAAATTAGATAATCAAATTCAAAGGCAATGATTTTCTTAGGTGGCAAAAGAAGATGCATTTTCTTTTGAATACTACAAAAAGTTGTGTATGTTTTGAGCACCAAAATTCTAGAAGTTATGGATGATGAAAAGCTGGAATAAATCCACAAAAGGATCAAGTAGGAGAGTAAAACATACACACACACAAAATGTGAATGTAAAACAAACATAACGAACATTAAATGAAGTATATACCGGTTTTAATAACAAAATAATGTATTTGTATTTGGGTTGAGAGTGACACGTAGATGCTATCGTATGCAATTATGCTTAAATTTCAAAATAGGTGAATTACTTCATCTGGATGGACAGTGGCAGCCCTCGGGTGGTGCCGGCGGTGCGGTCGCACCGGGCCTCCGATCTTATGGGGACTCTGATTTTTGGGATAATTTATAGTTATAGTATTGGTATTTTTGTAAAATCTATTTTTATGTTTTATCAATAAATAAAATTAGCCCGGTAACATTTGGTTCCAATTTTAGATGCATTTTAATTATGAAAAAAAAATCAACAAAAATCAAAATCTAATCATAAATTTAAAATTTATCAACAATTTAAGGAAAATATCTATATCCAAAAAAATGCAAATCTCTTTTCTTTATAAATTTTAGACAACGTTTTTATATTTTACAAACTCACCAAAAAGTAAGAAAAAAATCAAACCCTACCAAACCTAGTAAATGTGTTGCTCGTCTCCCGTCTTTTGGCTTTTGCTGTTTTGAATATCTCATTGACTGCTTACTGCAAATTAAGGTTAGTATCTCATCTCTTTTAATTTTTCAACCACGTTTGTCGCTTGACTACAATGCTTTGCTTTCTGTCATCTCTCCATGTTTAATGCTCCATAAAGTTAATGAATAATGAAACTGTGGTTTATTTTTTTATGTATTGGCTTGATAGGTTTTTTCTGTGCCATCTATATGATCTATCTATATTTTATTGTATATTGTTTTAGGCTTTGCTTTTTAGCCTTTTCAATTCTTAGGGTAATAGTTCATAATGGTCAAAAGTAGGGCAATAGGGCATGTATGGATTTGGGGATGGGGTTGGGCATGACTTATAAATATATTGTCTTATAATAGATTGAAAACCAAAATTTTGAGTATTTTTAATTTGACAGTTATTTGTTTTTACTTTTAGCATATTTCATTTGAGCTTTACAGTTTTCGAATTTATATATTTGAATTGAATCATTTGAATATCATATTAGTGGTTTGAGTATTTAAATCATATTAGTGGATTGGTTTTAACACCGATGTTAAGTTAACTTGTTCAAATGTCCTAATTGTTTTAAACATTAAATTTTTAATAAATATTTACAAACATATATTGTAGAGTTATTAATATAGATTTTTTTTATTTAAGAAAAACATGGCTCCAACTAGAAAATTTGAATCGGGTTCTTTTAAACGTAAAAGAAAATAGAAAGAAGCACAATTTATTGATAGTCAAAGAGGATCTGTGGATTCATTTATTATCAAAAAAGTATCGGAATATCATCGCAATGAAGAATCGGTTGTTGAAGAACATAAAGAAAAAGAAGAAGCCGAATTGCATGTGCCAGAAAATATGGATGAGATTCATGAAACTGTAGAAGAACATAGAGAAGAACTTCACGATGTTATGGAAGAACCTAGAGAAGAAGACGTTGAACTACAAGTGCCAGAAAATATGT